AAAAAAAAAAAAAAAACCCAAAATAACAAAAACAAATCCATAAACAAAACAGCATAGAGAACAATAAAAACGATACAGAATTTCAAAACACGGTGATAGGCTATTAACAATGGTTGTTACATTGCATAATGTCATCTTTAAAATGGTTGCACATATAACCCTGATATACGCATGCAAGATTGATCAAACTTTAATGTCCATTATCTCAAAGAAGCAACCCAAGAATGTGAAGCAGTTTAAAAAATAAGGGACTTCATAAAATGTTTCCTCGTAACATGACCGTAACACAACTTCAACCTGCCTCCTTAATGAAAGGTATTTTAGTAATGATGTTGAGTCACCCAGGTGTGGCTGCCCACTTACATCAATTCTAGAAATCCTAATTATTGAGAGGGATCCCTGTTTAAGTCCCAATCAAGATAAATATGTATATTATCATGCTGCTAAAAATTAGTAAAGACAAAAAAAAAATCAAAGAATTAGTAAAGACAAAATCAACAGTAGTGCAGACAGCAAGATCACTCTAGGAACAGCCCAGAGAATAAACTGAAAAACCATCTGAACAAATAAAGTTTAGGAAAATGGTCAAGCTCAAGTCAACATCCTAAAATCAACAGCATTTTTCTCAAGACGATTATCAGACAAGTTAATTCCCAAAGAAATGGATATAGCTGAAGCACAGGTTTTCTGTGATCAGACTACATCTCATAACTGAAAAAAGTTAATAAGTAAAAAAGTAAGTTCTTTCAGGTACCTACTTCATCCAGAGAGGTGAGAAGGTGAACAGTTTTTACTTTACATGGTTTCTTAATAAGCATCTCGCAAAATCGGAGGAAATTGTATAGCTGAAAGACATCAGGATGGAAAATGACTGACTGGCACAGTTTTCCCTCAGTGCTGATGGGGTGTGGCTGCCAGGGCCCCTCCCTCTGCTTCACACACGCTCAAGTCCCTTATGAACATGGTACAGTATTTGCACAGAGCCTCCACATATCCCCCAAATACTGAAATCACCTTTTTAAAATTAAACTTATTGGTGCATTTTAGGAATACATAATGATCACATTCATCATAGGGAATTTGTACCTGTCCATGATACAACTTAATTTTTTTATCCCCTTCCCCTCCCCTCCCTTCACCCCCTCTTCCCCTCTTTATTTATAAAAGCTTTGTTTCCATTTTTTCCTTTTCCCTTCCTTTCCCCCTCCTCCTCCCTAGTTCCCCTTTCCATTTGAACATTTTCTTCCTATCTCACAATATCTTTCATACATTTTGGTTCTTATTTACACTTTCAGTTTCTCACAGCACAGAAACTATGTGGTATTTACACGTGTCCATTAAATCACCTTTAGATTACTTGTAATACCTGATGCAATGGAAATAGTTATACTGTGTTAGTGAACAATGATAATAAAAAAGTATGTGTTCAGTATAGATGCAATTTTAAGAAAAAATTTCCATCTTTAATTGAATCTATGCATGTGGGACACACAGAGGGCTGACTAAAAATGTAAAATAAGATTTCGCTGTATTTTAGTATACTCGACTTACCTGATGAGTTTGTCTAATATAAGGATCTTCTATCCAAACTTCTGTGACTGTCCCATTAAGGTATTCTTTAAAAAGTGACTCATAACCAAAACCTGTTGCATTCTCTTCTATCTTAATTTGTTTGTGATACTTTCCATCTACAAGACACAAACTTCAGTATATAATCAGTGACTACTTTTTAAAACACCTTATTTTTTAAATAGTGATTAATCAAGATCAGTTATAAATTAATTTTTTAACTTATAACCCAAGATAAAGAGTGGGATGGCACAGGATCAACAGGATAATTCCATTGGTTTTGTTAATGCAAAATGAGTCATTACTGAGCAAGTTATCAGAGACCAACAAGTTTTAAAGAAATGTACAACCCCTAATAGTAGTTCCTAATTTGCACAGTTTTGCACTTTATACTTTGCTTAAAAATCAGTGGTCTTGCTCCTCTTCTGGGGATAGCATTTGAAGGACTCAGGATGGTGTAGGTTTGACACACGTAGTAGGCTTTCTTGCAGTACAGGCTCTCAAAACCCTGGTAACAGACTTATTTGCTTTTTATGTCAAGAAGGTTGGGAAAGCACGGAAATCCGTGTGTAGTATGTGCCCAGGCAGACCTTGAAGGGTTTGTGCTGTGAGACTCAAAGTTTTATGAGATTGTCTAAAACACTGAGAAAACACGTTGGGCCATAGTAAGGACAGAGGGGAAGAACAGCTGAGGGCCAGGCAGCAGTACTCGCGGTGGCAGTACCTCCGGCCACAGAAAGCGGCAACAATGTACACTATAAGGTCACAATGCTCCTTTATACAGATGTTCATAACCTGGAAGCTTATGAACAGGAAACTAGTAATATACAGGGAACAACACATACCTACCCCACCTCTGGTCATTAGGAATACTTAACTCTTAGAACGCTTTGATTCGCAATAGTATCTGAGAGACGTCCCAGGAGTTTCTTTAGCTACTTTAATGATTTTAGTCCTTTCATAAAGGGAAATACACATAAAATGCAGGATCTGCATTCGGCATTCTTCTGCAGCAGTTCTTTGACTGGGTCCACAAAGCTTCTGGGATCTGCAAATTCCTTAAAAATGGCGAAGTCCTGCAGTATGTAGAGCTTTCATGGGATGCTCAAAGGGGTGTCTGACCCCACCCCCTAACAAAGAAAAAGTGAATAACTCTTGTATAGAGGGAGAAGAAATGCAGAGTAAATCTGTAAGCCCCAGGCACAAAGAGTTCACACCACACAGAGCTCTACAGGAAGCCAGAAATACCTGGTGAATGGACAGAATCACAGCAGCTTACAGGTATGTTTTCTATCTGTTTCAGAGGTGCTGGGGATTGAACCCAGGGCCTCATAAATGTTAGGCAAGTGCTCTGCCACAGAGCTACATCCCCAGCCCCCTCGGACATGTTTTTTAAAATAGCCTTTTTTACCTTCTTTTACTTGATCCAAGTATTTCTTTATGTCTTCTGCTCTATCCATGTAGTAAGTAATTTTTTCTCTGAGATAACATCTCTTAGTATGGTCTTGGGTGCCTATAAAATTTAAAAACAATCATATTCTCAAGTTGCAAAATAGTTTTTCTATTTAGTTCAAGCATTGCTTCTGGTTTCCCAAGTTTCCCACAAACTTTCTATCTTTTTAGCATGCTTTGCCTCAGTCCTAAAATACACAGATGCCAAGCTCACATTCTGCTGATACAGGGAAGTGATTTCTAAACTAAGCATATGAAGCACTTTTGTTTAGGAATGGGGGCGCTGATACTACGTCGCCTCTGGGGCACCAAGTCTGGTAGGGTGAGAAAGGTCTACAACACATCAGACTCTTTACAAAAAGGTTCAGGATGAATAGTGGTTAACAACAAAGGGCCTAGAGTCAGACTGCTTCACTTAAAACCTGCTTTTCCACTTTGAACTGAGTGAGTTTGGCCAATTATTCAACCTCTTTGTATCTTCCACTTTAACATGCAAACAGTAACAATACCTTAGAGAGTGGCGGCGAAGTCTATAAACGAGCCTGCCTGGCATGTAGGAAATAATAAATGTTGATTGTCAACATCATTATCATCCACATAATTCTTCCCATACACCTCGTCAGAGCTCCTTTAGAGGCACACTTTAGTATCTTCTTTCTTAACCTCTGCTGTTACTTTGCTGGTGCCCTAAACATGTTCTACTTTTTTTGCCCCTTTCCTACCAAAACAAAACCCAAGATCCACCTTCCCTCAACCTTGCTATGCTTTTAAATTTTCCATAAAGTATGAGTTTCTCTTTTATGTTCACTGACATCCTTCTTGGATGTCCACTCGATTTAATTACTTGCCATTTGGTCCTCAGAAATGAAAGATTTGTAAAAGACTTTAAAATTAAGCTCGCCAGTGACTACACTAAACCACACTGAAATACTTTTTTGGTAAAACAGCACAATCTTAGCTGAATTTCTTTTTTAAACAAAGTATGAACAGCACCTTCACTGGGACAAGGGACAAGGTACTGGCAGCAGGGCAGGGATATACTCCTTTGTACCACTCTTTAACAGTGACATTTCTTTTTCCTGGTACTGGGAATCGAACTCAGGACCTTGTGCTTACCAGGCAGGCGCTGTGCTACAGAGCTATATCCCGGCCCAACAGTGACATGTTCTAACCATGTATATGTGTTATGTTTAGTCTCTTAAAACCACAACTGAGGTTTTTTTCAAAGAACTTAAATTCCAAATTAATTATGGCTATATGTAAATGTTCTCTTATTCAGAGTCAGCTCCAATATATGAACAGGAAAAATTCAATGGCAGTACAGGTTAGTACCCTACAAAAACGCAAGTTTAGGCACTTTATCAAAGGACAATGTTCAGAAACACTGCAAATGTGCTCCTCTCTCTCTTGCTGCTTTTGCTGTCTTCTACCCACCATGAATTGCTCTGCTCTGTGAAGCCCTGCCTTAGAGCCAGATGACTGTGTGACTATGGACTGAACCCTCTACAAACTGGGAGCTAAATAAACCCTTCCTCCTCAGTAAAAAAAGAAAGAAAGAAACATGTAAATGAGGTCATTGTGTTTTCTACCACGCCTGCTCAGGGCTCTGCTGGTCTCTGCTTGCACTTTACAATGGTCTCTTTCTATCCTAAATAAGGAAACCACATGATCTGACTGACAGCGACTGTTCCTTCAGCTGAGAGGGACTTTAGTCAGTGACATCCCAAGCAACTACTTAGAACTGCCAAATGGCACTGCTTTGGAATTTCCTGCACAGAAGGGGTTTACGCAACTGGCTTCCTGGTGACACATTTAGACCCCAACTCATTTTACCTTACTGCAATGAAAATCATGGCTGTGGCACAACAGTCTGACTTGAAGCCCTGAGTTTTAAGAGCTGGTCTGATCAGAATTTGCTTTTTGGTTAACAAAAAGTCAAAAGCAAGGACACAGCAGGTGAGGGTGAGACAGTGATACCTTGGAAGTCAATGACCCACCCACAGGTTAATTTAAATGGGAAAAAGCAATATAGTCAGCTTTCCATGGATAGTAATTCTGTGGTAAGCGTGAATTCGTTAGTGTCTGCTATTAACCAGAAAGCCTGTCTTCATATGTGAAGGCTTTACGATAGTAATTTTGGCACTGACCAGGCTGGCCTTGTGGCAGAAGAAATGGGAATGTTCCCTGGTCTGCAGTTTCTAGCACCCTCCCTGCCCGAGAGACCAGCAAGGGCCTCTAGGGGCTCGTGTGCTGCATAGGAGACACCCTGCCAGTCACAGGTCATCTCTCTGACCTCCAGCTCAGCTGTCTTCCTTTGAGGCCCATGATCTCAGATCCTTTTCCTTCCTTCCTTCTTTTGTCCTTCTCTCTTGCTTTTTCTCTTTGCCTCCTCCTCCTTTACCAGGCATATGTGACCCTCCAGAGTGACATCAGCACACCTGTCTTGACTAACCAACAAATCCTTGATCTCCCAGGCAGAGCTGCTCCCAAAGCATGAAGATAGCCTGGTCTGATCCCACGATGAATGTCTGCCCATTGCAGTTGGCACTGAACAGGCTTCCCCACCACAGGCTCCTGATTTCCTATCTCCTCCTCGGTGGGGCTCCTCCCCGCAGAGACAAACATCCTCAGAGTCTTCCCTTTCGTTGTCATTTTCAGGATGCTCTTGGGCTTGTCCAGGTCCACCTTGGAGAAGTCAACAGGCACTGAGGGTCTCTTGTGCTCTGATCTCTTCCTCCTGTGTCATCATCTTTGTCCCAGTGTTCCAGATGTGTCATGCCCATATCATTGTAGTCACCAATGTCCTCCTCCTCCCACAGAGGTGGGGTAGCCTCACTGGGCATCTAGGTCAGAGGCACAAAGCAGGAGCAGGACAGCACACACCCACCCAGAGGCCACCATCTTCACTAGGAAGCTTTTTTCTTTCTGATTTCTTAAGTTCTACTTTTTACTCCAAAGCTTCTATCAAACATCACCTCTCCCTTTCTCCCTCCATTTAACCTTTTCTTATTTAAATCTGCATTGCAGATTTATCTCTCCTGATATTCCTTGTATCAGAATTAATTGCATTTTGGGTCTTAACTTGTCTCTATAACCTCCCTTGGGACTTGTGATTCCCCTGCTTCTGACCCATACAGGGGTCTTCCACCTGACCAACACCTCCCCGGCTCTGTTTTGGGGACCTCATACACCAGTCATTGAGGCCTTTCACTCCAGTCATGGCTTGACCACCTGCCAGTGGCAGAGCTACCTTTCTACATTATAGCATCAGAATACCATAAACTCCTGCTTTATAGAACAATTTAAAGAATGAAACAAGTTCATCCGTTGTTTTTGCTTTCTCAAGATTCTAGGGATAAATCTAGCGCCTCAGGCATGTTAGACAAGCACTCTACCACTGAATTATGTACCCAGTCTCAACTTTAGTTTTGTTTTTTCAACTTTGTTTTTTTTTTTTTTTTTGGAGGGGGTGCTTAAGTAAAATTAAATTACAAGCATCACAATATTTCTTTTCAACAATTCAGTCTGCATCTCTAAAACTTAAGGATAGTTGTTGGGGGAAAAATGCCTATTAATAATTTTAATATTACCCGCTCTACACTCAGACTTTCCTAAAAGAACGTCTTAATTATCAAGGCTTATATGCTGCATATGGTTAAGTCTATGAAACCTTTAAAAAAAATCTACAAGTAGACCCTCCCCTGGCATAATGACATCAATCTATTACAGATACTTAGAAGAAACCAGCCCAGCTATCCTGTAAAGTATCCCACCCTCGGCTGTGACAGCCTCCTGGCGGTGTGGAAGAATCATTTCGTTTCGCAGCACCCTATAAACAGGGTAAACCAGCTCCTTTTCCTCTGCTCTTCCCCTGCACGGCTCACCGCTCACCTTTCCGAACCTGCAGGAGCAGATCAATCCCCTCTTGGTAACACACTAGAGCCTGCTGGTACCGGGACTCCGAATCCAGTTCCACCGCTCGGCTCAGCACAGTGACTGCAGCTCTGCAATCGGGATCCTGCCCCACCTGGGACTTAGCCATAGCTGCAGCAACTCCCCTCCACCTCCGCCCAGGTAAAGTGGTCCCTGCGCAGTGCACTTCCAGGAAATGGTCACGTGGTACGCTTGCGCCTGCGCTCTCCTTCTCCAGTCCTCGAGTGGGAGGGACCGTATCTGGAACCAAAGTGCCCCTCTCGGAACTAAAAGGTCGCGCGCCCTGCGACGGCAGGGTTTGAGTGTTGCACTTAATGGGGCCTTTCTCTTCTTAGCTTCCGCTCTTTGCGGAAGTTCAGACTGGACATTTAGCGGGCGCTGGTGAGTGGGAATGGGTCGCTGAAAGTATTGCATTTTCCTTCAAGAGGCTGTGTGTCTGGTTTCCCTCCGCTCCACGCTGATAGATTTCCCCTATTCCATTCTGAGTTGGCGGGTCACACCTCGCTAAATGGGTCCGTGTTCCGGTTGCATCTCTTTGACTCCCGAAACGCCGTCGACCTATCCGGCGTCCTTTTCTAGGACTCTCCGGGCCGCTTTCTGGAGCTCCAGACGGAGTCGCCAGCGCTGGGCGGCGTGGGAGTGGGAATTCACGCGAGCTTTCCCAGCGTGGTCTGTGTTTCTGCTTTCTTCATAACCGAGGGCTTCCACTGGGGATCAGTGTAACCGTTTCTTTTTAATGAAGGCAAAATAGTCCTGTTTTAAAGTTGCTGCCTTTTAGAACGAAACTTTCTGAAGCTGGCAGCAAAAATGTTTGCCATTTACAAAAAACTGATTTTTTCAAGCATAGTTTTTTGATCACCATCTACCCAAAGTTGCTTCTGCCTTTTTGGCCAAGAGGTAGTTTATAGGACCATCTGTTTCCTTTTAGACGCTGGGAGTTCGGAGAAGGGAGACACATTTCATGCCCTCACAGATCTCGTTTTGTTTTTTTTTTTGTTTTGTTTTGTTTTGGGCAAGGGTAGTTTTATGTTCTACATATGTGTACTGACCCCCCTCCCTTGTATAACTAAATGCATGTTTCTTTAGGAGAAGGAATCGCTTTTTAAAAGAACCTTTACATGCATGGCACCTGTAAAGTAAAAAAGGAAAAAAATCAGATATGTAATTGCCCTTACAGCCTACCATACAGGGATATGTTAATTTTTTTGACAGCTTTTCAGGGTTGTATATACATACACATCACGGGCTTTTTTTTTTTTTTTTTTTTTTCGGGAATCGAACTCACGACCTCGCACTTGCCAGGCAGTCGCTGTACCTCCGCGCTATATCCCCCGCCCTCCATGGGCATTTTAAAAAAATAAGTATTTTCCTGTTTTTTAGCTCTGCTAGAGAAGAGTTACTGCTTCAAGGTCAAAGAGTTACGTGGGTATTAGAAATAAGCTCTACTAAGATAAAATGTTGGGGCTGAGGATGCAGCACAGTGGTAGAGGGCTTAACTAATAGGTTAGAGGCTCAGGTTCAATTCTCTGTGCCACAAAACAAAAAAATTTTTTTTTATTGTCACAGCTTCTGATATTTGCGAATTAAACTTCATTAAGCATGAATACATTCAGTGCCTGCTATGGTGAAGGTGCTACTTCAGGAAGATAATTAGGATACATCTGTTAATATACCAGGTCAAAAACAACTAAATGTTTAAATCCTTTTCCCATGAAACTAACGTGATTTAAGTGGAGACAAACTCAAGTTATGGTACAAGATGGTAAGTGCTGTTGGAGAAAAAATAGAGTAAGAGGTTGAGAGTGCTAATAATTGTATGTCAGAATGTTAAATAATGTAATCAGGGTAGACTTCCTTAAGAAGATGAGGTTTGAGACAAAAATTGAAAGACATGAGGGGATTAGTCATGTCAGGATCGTTCCACCAATTACAGGGAGCTGCTGCTTGGCTGGTGTCAGGCCAAGCAAGGGATCAACTTGTCTAGTGAAGTCCTGAATTTCCAAGATGGGTTGACTAGGGCGGAGGGGCAAAGGCTGGCAAATGGTGTGCAAAGGAAGTGGTGTGGGGGTTAAGGACTTTTGCTTTCACTGTGATTAAATGAAGAGGCGCTGCAGGCTTTCAAAAAATATTAGCTGTCTAGAAAATTTGTGAAGGTAGTATAGTGTTCCTACATGTGCTGCACGCACTGTCCCCTAGTGATAATGTCACATATTAGCATGATATGTGTGTTAGAATGGATGAACTAATATTGATACATTATTGACTAAAGTCCACACTTATTTTTTCAGATTTTCTTAGTTTTTGCCAGGAAGCCACATGACATTTAATGATCATATCTTCTCCTAGTCCTCTTGCCTAGTGTCTCAGTCTTATTTTTTATGACCATGACAGTTTTGAGGCAGTTAGGTATTTAAGGAGGTATTGGTCAAGTATTTGGCACAGTGGCCCTCCTTGGAGGTTTTCTCTTACGGTGGAATTAGGGGTTTAGGGCAGAATGCCAGCGGTAGAGTGCTGTTCTTCTATCGTGTCTGTACTGTCGGCTTGACTTTTGTCGTTGTTGATGTTAACCTCTGACTCCTGGGCAGCATCTATGCAAGCAGATGCATGGTTTGAGGGAACCAGCTGGCTGAGATTGTGGTATAATCTGACTGGTAGATTCTGGAAGCAGGGACAAGGCAGAGGGTTCCATAGTTTGCTTTGCTTTGCTTTGCTTATTTTCTTCATCCAGATCTTCACTGTCTTGAAGTCAGACCCCCCCCCCCACGCACAAATTTAAAGACCCAACCCAAGGTAGTGTTTGTCCTCTTTCTCCTCTATACCCCACCACCACCTTTTTTTGGACAGTATCTTGCTATGTAGCCCAGGCTGGACTTGAACTCATGGCGATCCTTCCTTAGCCTCCCGAGTGCTGGGAGTACAGTTTGTGCCACCACACCTGGCTTGTTTTTTCCTTTATCTATATTATACTCTTTAGGAACAAGTCATTAACCCTAGCTCATGCTAAAGGGATGCTTAGTTCTACTCCACTGCCTTGAGAGGAGAATATCTACATAAATTATTAACAGTTCTTCTGTACAGATTTATTTATTTTCTCATTTATTTATCCACTTGTTTAAGTCAGTATGGATTTAGGGCTATGTATATTTTGGGTCAGGTTGTAAGCCAGTGCTTCGCTTTTATTAAAGTTTTCTAGCTTTGGCCGCTGGGTGCTGTCACTTGGCCCTGTATCTCTTTCACATACTGCCATCATTCTGCCTTCTAGCGTAGTCACTTTTGGGCACTACTGGAGGCTCCAGACATTATCGGTGTCTCTCCTTTCATTTCAGGCTATTTGAAAGCAAGGTCTGGGCCCTGAGTGTGTTCCTTGCTATGTATAGTACTAGGTGTATCAATTTTTTTTTTTTGGTGTTAGGAATCGGACTCAGGACCCTGCACTTGCCAGGTAGGTGCTTGTGCCGCTGAGCTGTATCTCCAGCCCCTAGGTGCTGTTGATTTTAGGTCCTCAGCTGACATGAAACAGCTGACCCTTATGTGGATGCATATCTGGAAGGGTTTCCATACCCATAGTGTCTCACCTAAACATGAGTTCTGACCTCAGCAGTGAGAAACCTGGCTCTTTGGAAGGTTTTGAAGAAAGTGATGATTTTTTTTTTTGAAACAAAGTCTTGCTCAGGCTAGCTTTGAACTCGCTATGTAGCCCTGGCTGGCCATGGTCTCATGGTGATCCTCCTGCTTCAGCCTCTCATGTGCTGGGATTATGAGTGATGACATTTAATGAACTGACTTGTTTCTGTTATGGGAAAAAGACATTAGAGGGCTTGGAATGGAAAGCAAGGCCAGTTTGGAGGATTTTGTTAAAATCTAAGGGATAAGAGAAAGATTTAACAAAATGTGAAACTAAATGTGTTGGATTAGTTTATAATGCTTATCTTGCAAGGAAAAAGTATTGTGAAATAATTTAGCATTAAATTGGTTCAGCTGGGCATGTTAGCGCACACCTATAATCCCAGCACTTGAGAGGCTGAGGCAGGAGGATTGCTGTGCGTTCAAAGCCAACATGGACTACATAGTGAGAACCTGTCTCCAAAAACAGCCAAAAGAAAAGAAAAAATGAAAGTGACTCAGTTGCTGAGGAATGTTTCTGAGGTCTGGCTCTTTACAGAGGATAGCTTGTGTTTATTCCTACAACTGCACTGCTGTGTTCATATTACATGAAAGACTTGTATAGCCTGAGTAAGCTAGAATCTAGTGGATGCTGAAATAATAAAGCATTTACTCTATTTTACTATATTTGAGTATTCTTAATTCTGTAATCTAATACTCTTATTATAATGACTGTCGTTTAGTGACAGCTTTTGTATGCCATATGGCTTCACATGTTCTGTAGAATAACTCATTGGCAAGATAAGTATTATTTTCTTTCTCTTCTAGGAGAAAATACTGAAATATGTGGATTAAGTAACCTGTCCAAGATAGACACGATTCATGAACCCCAATCATTCTGCTTTGAGTACGTATCAGTCTAATAGGCTACGATTTTTGTTTTGTTTCGTATTTATAAGACAGGGTCTTGACACATATTCCAGGCTGGCCTTGAACTCACTGTGTAGCCCAGGCTGGCCTCAAACTTGGGGCAATCCTCAAGCCTCAGCCTCCTGAGTGCTGAGATTACAGGTGTGTGCCACCATGCACAGCTAATTGTTTTGTGTCTAGCTGAGTACACGTGACCTGTTTAGTTTACTGAAGCAGTGCATATTGTTTAGAAGAGTTCAAAATGCAAATTTAAAAGGACTTCTCTTTAGAGAAAACACCTTGTGGTATAGTAAAAATGCACCACACTAAGAATTAGGAGAATTGGGTTCCAGAGCACATGCTCCCGGGGTGACTGGATACTGTTGGAAAAATGGGTGAATTTTCTCTGGTTTGTTTTCCTCATACATGAAGAGTGCGGTCAATTCTAACTACAGGAGTCGGGATTTCTTCAGTTATATCTAGCTTTATTTTTCTGTGGTTCTTTGAGAAATCATTCTTTATCTGTTGATGTTTAAAATGATAGTAAATTCCCATTTCTCAGTTTTGTGGAATCAATCTAGGCTATAACTCATTAGAAGAAAATGGTATGTGGCTAATTTTTGTGTGTGTGTGTGTGTTTGTACTGTATTTTTTAGCTTTATTTTCTTTCTAGAAGACTGAGGCAGGAGGATCACAAGTTTGAGGTCAGCCTGGGCAACTTAATGAGAGCCTGTTTAAAAAAAAGGCTGGGGATATAGCTCATTGTATAGGTCCTAGGTTCAATCCCCACCACTAGATAAAGGAAAAAAAAATGCTTTTGTACTGTAAAAATCATCAAGGTTTGTTCTGTTTTGTTTGCAGTACTAGGGATTGAACCCAGATCCTTCTCAGTGAATTATCTCCCCAACCATTTTTAAATTTTTTATTTTGAGACAGGGTCTCACTGAGTCACTAAGTGACTGAGAGCCCAGACTGTACTCAAACCTGTGATCCTCCTGCCTCAGCTTCCCAGAGTGTTGGGATTATAAGCTTGTGCCATGGGGCCCATTCCCAAGATTTTATTGTTAAATTTCAATCAGGTTAATTTGCTGATTTATTTTGCAGCACTAGAGAAGGGGGAGAACCTGTCCATTTCCAAAACATTTCACCAGTGGATCTATTCTCTGCTTCTTACAGCCTCTGAAGACAGATAATTACTACGCTATGGCAGGGATTTTGCGCTCAGTGGTTCAGGGGCCCCCTGGAAGGCTACAGGTGAGTGTTTCAGGAATTCTGTATTTTTACAATTTTTTCTCTGATTATAAAACATAAGGAAAATGCCTTTACAGACTCCTTTCTTTATATATTAATTTTTTAAGATAGGGGTTCATTTTGTTTTGAACTGCTATTTCATCCCTAATGATTTGGAATTAGAGCTAGGCATGGTAGCATACATCTGTAGTCCCAAGGTGCAGGCATTAATTGAACCTACAAGTTCAAGACCAGCCTGGGCAATATGGCAAGCCCCTATCTCAAACAAAAACAAAAACAAAAACAACTCAGATGCGTAAAATCTCTTTTTTGGAGAACAACATGTCATGTCAGTAACATGTCATGGCTACTGTTGATTTTCCTAGGTCTGCTTTAATCCTAAAAGTTTTAGGACTTTTTTCTCATCAATTATGAAAACTGTCTTTTTGTGTTTTTTGAGCCAGGATCTTGCTATGTAGTTCAGGCTGGCCTCGAACTTAGTATGTAGCCCAGGCCGGCTTTGAACTTCCAATGATCCTCCTGCTTCAATCTCCTGAGTGCTGGGATTACAGGTGTGCACCACCATGCCTAGCTGAAAATTGTACATTTCAGTCACAAATTAGAAAAATAGGGAAACAAAAAGAAGAGAATCTCCCAGAGACACTGATGTTGGAATTTTCATGTATTTACTTCTGTTCTTTGTTTAGAGAGTTCAACAATGTATTAGCATAATCTATACTTAAGGACCAGACTTTATACCTAGATATAGACAAGGTCTTGATGCAGACCTGCTGCTGGCTGTCAGTGGTAATAATGTATACCACATTATCTTACCTTCACATGGATCCCAGGAAATCAGTAGTATTCCCTTTTAGTTCTGAGAAGACTGACCTCTGAGAGGATAAATGTGTCCTGTCTCAGCTGTAAGCAGCAGAACCAGTGTGACCCAGTGTTTCCAGTGTGTGAGAGACCGTGTTTTCCCTTTTACCTCCCCGTCCTCTAGCTGTTGATGCTGTCTCCGCCATAGAGCGAAGGCTGAAGGGAGTCGGGGAGTGCCAGTCACCCATCATGCAGAACTTTCCTGGGGCGAAAGGTTGTCAGGGAATTCCTGGATTGGAGGAATGTAGAGGAGGAGCAACAGATAGGAATTAGGAGTTGAGGCCCTGTTAGGACTAGGAAGAAAACTCGCTGTGGATTTCTTTTACATCGTTTTGTGAAGGTGAATTATTACACATGGTCTAGAGCAAAAGGTGATAAACCATGGCTTCTGGGCCAAATCTAGCCTGCCACTTAATTTTGTAAATACAGTTTTATTGAAGCAGTTACACTCATTCGTGTGAAAATTGTATGACTTCTTTCACCCTAAATTGGCAGAGTCAAGTCTTAGCAGCAGGGAAGTACAGCTCAAAGCTGGACATATTTACTCTCTCCTCTTTTACAGAAAAAGTTTGCCAACTCCTGGTTTATATGTTTATGTACTTTTACCTTTATAATACGTTAGTGGGTAGAAGAGATGAACTCATTCAGCCTGAGAGCTGAGATAAGCTTTTAGGTTAGTTCAGAGCAGACTCTTCACAACTAAAGATGGATGGGTGTGGATTTCTGCACTAGGCAGGGTTCTAAAAGAACAATTTTTTTTTTTATATCATATTTTAGAGTGTGACAAAAGGTGTGGAATCTCTCATGGGTACAGATTGGATTCGTCACAAATTTACCAAATCAAGAATTCCAGATAAAGTAAGAATTTTTTTGTTACTGCTTTTAAATTGTGTCTGAAAACCCACTTTGTACTATTGAAAGCTTTTATATTAAATTATGGTTGGTGATGGTACAGCATTTAAAACGTAGAATTCATGGAAATGATATTAAAAAGAAAAGTATATTCTGTTAACCCTACCACTGCCCGCCCAGGAGTGGGTTTTTATTATGTCTGAGTCTGTTTGCCCCTGCTTGTGGTTTCCTGTGTGTGTTTTTATGTCACTGTCATCATGGGAAACCCTGGGCCCTCCAGCGGAGGCTCGCTCTCAGTGACCCCTTGCTGTCAGTATCCACCACTGCTGCTTTGAGTCTCTCAGCCTTTTCCGTTACATTCTTGCATACCTGTCCTTCTTTTCTTTTCTTTCTTTTTTTTTTTTTTGTGGTACTGGGGATTGAACTCAGGGCTTTGTGCATGCTAGGCAAGCACTCTACCCTTGAGCTACACCTCCAGCCCCCTGTTCTTTTAGAAAATATAGACTAACCCCTGTATTGACTTTGGTTTTTATTTTGTTTTACACTATTTCTTTGCTTTTTAATTAATAGACTATTTCATCAAGTAGTTTAGGTTTACAGGAAAATGGATTGGAAAGTGTGGAGACTTGCAATATAACCTGTCCCCTCACGTACAATTTCCACTGGCTCTGACTTCTTCTGCTGGTATGGTGCAGCTGTTACAATTGTTGAAACAACAGTGTCACCTTATTATTAAAGGCCATAGTTTACGTAGGGTTCTCTCTTTGTATTGAATAGTTTGTGGATTTGACAAATGCGTAGCATCCTATGTTCATATTACAGGATATTGCAGAGTAGTCTCACTGCCGTGAATATCGCCTCTGCACTACTGTGACTCCCTCCTAACTCTGAAACCCTGGCAACCACTGACCCTTTAGTATTTCTGTAGTTTTACCTTATCCAAAATGTCGTATAGTTGGAATCATGCAGTGTGGGATTTTCCAGTGTATGAGAAACCATTTTCACACTGGCTTCTCTGAGTAGTGTTCACTTAGGGTTCTTTTATGTCTTTTCATGACTTAATAGCTTCTTTGTTCCTATTGGTGAATAACATGACATGGTATAGATTTACAGTTCATCTGTACGTTCACCTACCCGCAGGCCTCTTGTATGCTTTCAGTTTGAGGCAGTAATGAAGTTGTACAAGTACTTGCATGTAAGTCTATGCATAGATATGTTTTCAACTCCTTAGATAGATACTCAGGAGCACAGTTGCTGAACGATAAGATAAAGACTATGTTTAGCTTTGTGAAAGCTGAGTTTTTGTGGGACAGGGGCCCTCCCTTCCTCCTTTCTTCCCTCCCTCCCTCCCTCCCTCCGTCCTTTCTTTTCTTCCTTCCTTCCTTCTTCATTTTTTATTGTGGCAAAATACACAGAACAAAATGTATCATCTTTTTTTTTTTTTTTTTTTTTTGTCTTTTTGAGACAGGGTCTCGCTATGCAGTTCAGGCTGTCCTTGAGCTCACTTTGTAGCCCAGGCTGGCATCAAACTCAACAATGATCCTCCTGCCTCAGCCTCCTAAGTGCTGGGATTACAGGGGTACACCACCACGCCCGGCTCAAAATGTATCTTAACCCTTTTCAGATTTTGGAGTTTTTAAGATTTTGGAATATTTAACATTTAACAACTGAGCACCCCAATCTGAAAGTCTGAAGTCTGCACTCCCCGAGGTGCTGGACTTTCTACTTTCACATGGAGGACGCTCCGCCTACACTGCCAGCACATTGTCTGGACATGTGCATTCTTCAGTGTCATCTGGTTGCTTCTGCTTTGTTCTACCAATTAAAAAACAAAGCAAAGCAAACTCCTTGGCCGTGTAATATTTCTTAGAGTATGAAATTTTTAATCTGCTTATCTGAGTTATCACACTAGTGTAGTAGAAATGTTCGGTTATAGGTTGGGAATTATATATATATTAGGGATGAGATGATTATGTGGTTTGTACATGGGTGTGTGTGTGAGAGAGAGAGAGAGAAATGAGATACAAAAGAAAATTCTGTAAAAATGTGAGATACATTGACACTGTAAATTGAAAATTTATTATTTCTAATTCTTCCCCTTTAGGTGTTTCAGCCTTCCCCTGAAGATCATGAAAAATATGGTGGGGACCCACAGCACCCTCACAAATTGCACATTGTCACCAGAATAAGAAGTACAATAAGACGTCCATATTGGGAAAAAGATATAATAAAGATGCTTGGATTAGAAAAAGTATGCAACTACTTTAGTCCTTTTTAGTGTTGTTTAAATTCACTTTAAATTCTCTACTATTTAAATTTTGAGATGTACATTTCCTTTGTTGAAATGTACTACTTAGTGGAACTCACTTGTGATCTTAAGTTTGATTTAGGTAGAAAAAGCCTGCAGTTAACACTTGACACAGAACTGTGTGACTCTGAACCGTGACCTTGTTTCTTTTGTTCACAGGCCCATACCCCTCAAGTTCATAAGAATATCCCTTCAGTGAACGCGAAACTGAAAGTGGTTAAACATCTGATAAGGTTTGTTGCTTATTATCTCAGCAGTTTGAAAAAAGAATGTGTTCCTTAGCGCAATTCTAAATACATTTTCTTATGTCACAGAATCCAGCCCCTGAAGCTGCCACAAGGACTTCCCACAGAAGAGAACATGGCTAACACGTGCCTCAAGAGCACCGGGGAGTTAGTAGTACAGTGGCATCTAAAGCCCGTGGACACCTCTAATCCCAACACTCAGGGGGCTGAGGCAGGAGGATCCTTGCAAGTTCAAGGCCGGCCCCAGGCTACATAGTTCAAGACTAGCCTAAATTACAAAGCAAGACCGTGACTCAAAGAAATCCCCTGTGGAGCAGGAAACAAGTTCTATGCCACAGAGCTTTATATTTAAAAAAATGCAAATTATGTTTATTCAAAGTAGGTGAGAAGTTGGGCATGGTGGCGCAGGCCTGTAATCCCAGCAGTCAGGAAGCTGAGGCAGGAGGATTGTTGTGAGTTTGAGGCCAGTTTACATCATATAGTGAGACCTTGTCTCAAAAAAAGAAACACCCCCAAAAAAGTAAAGTTGGTGAGAAAATGCTTTCATTAAAATACATTTTCAGTCTCAGTCATTTTTACCTACTAAACCTGCTATGAACCTTCCTGGCTATTTAGACTTGGAGGTTTGGGGTTATTACTTAATTTGGTGTTCTCTTCTTTCCCTGTGAGAGTTTAACTCAGAATGGGTAAGAATGGCATTGTTTGAACATCTAGATTTAAATCCCCTGATACCTCAGCAGCTGTCAGCAACTGTTCTTAGAAGTTGTTTTCTCATGTAAGTGAATTCCACACACTTTGAGCAACTCAGTCCATTTTGTTTTGTGTAGCAAAATACCTCAGCCTGCTTAGGTTGTAAGGAAAAGGGGTTAAGTTGGGTCACTGTCGGGACACTCAGCAGCCTGTGCTCGGGCAGTCACGTCCGGCGCGGGCCCCTGTGGTGTGTGGCTGGCGGATCCGCCGAGTGCCGCCCTGTAGCTCGAGCGCCGGCAGGAGTGGTGGAGGCCGGGAGGCACCACGGTGAGACGGAGGCCAGAGAGCAGTGAGGGAGCCCCCTGCGCAGTACCACAGGCCCTTCCCAGAGCCCCGTCGGTGCCTGGAGCAGACACGTCTCCACTCGAGCAGGCTCTTTGACCTCTGAACTGTGTTGGGGAAATCCAGGGCTGACGACCTGCCTGGGCCCCTCAGGAGCTTGCAGTCAGTCCTGTGCAGCCAGAGATGGGAGACACGGCGCGGCTGGGCCCCACTCTGCCTCGGCGTCCGTAGATACAGACGCAGACAACGCAGACACAGCCTTACTCCATCCCTAAACTTAACACCAAAATAACATTTGTTTTCTAAATACAAATCTACTTTGGCCTAAACTTTATTGTTGCCTGCTGTCTGGACAAAACATATTCAGCTCTGCATAGGCTTTTTCCTTGTGGAACAAGAGTGTGAAGTCATTTTAGGAGTGACTTAAAAGCAGATTGTCATTCTGTTTTGAACTCAAAACGGGTTTCAAGCTCACATGTCAACAGTTGAGCTTGCTATGTAAAAGAAGAAAAAGGAAGAAGTCTTTTACGGAGAATGATTTTATTTCCAGTTCCTCTGCCTGGATGGGGAGAAGGCTTAGGAGAGAGTCTGTACGGGAGAGGCCCGCGGCAGCTCACTGTCAAGGCTGATACGGATAAGGTGCCTGTGCTGCTTCCCTTTGTCTCTTGCACAGTTGCGCTCAGACAGCACCAACATCGGCACACTCCTTGTTTGTTGTCCCAGTCTCCTATCAGAGGTCTTGATGTTTCGGGGCAGAAGCACCGCCTACGACCTGGCATAGGCTAGTGCGTGAAGTAAATCCCATCACTCGGCTAAAAGGTACATCACAGCGTTAATCCAGCAAGCATTGACTGTCCAGCGTGTGTAAGGCCTAGAGGAGTTAGGCCATAGTGAGGCAGGAGATCACGAACTGGTGCACGATGAGCGGATCTGTCAGTTCTGGGCACATGCGCAGAAAGTGCTGTCTTCAGTTCTCAGAAGTCAAGCAGTTGTTTGATCAGAGTCTGCTGCTGTCGGCCGCAGAAGTGGGAGGCAGGAAAGATGGCAGCCCCTGAGCTCTTGGCCACTGTGCTCTCTCCCGCAGGGGTCACTCTCACCCGGCAGAGTAAATTCTTTTCCAACTTGTAATTGACCCACAGTTGCTTGGCAGAGCAGATTTCTTTTCCTACCTTTAATAAATGTAAAACCTCACTACTTATAGCCCTTGTCTAGTTCTATGTTCAAGATAAAAAGAACCTAGAAAATGCCTCCAGAAGGCATCCCCAGCACCTCAGCACCCGGTAACAAAGGACGGTAACCTCTGTGTGCTCAGTCGAGCTGGGGAGAAACCTGTATACCTCACCATAACGTGTTCCTCCTGTGCGGGTGCAGACACGTAAATAAAAGCAGTTGCTGCCCACTTTGCACTATCTAATGTGCTAATAGTAATACTGTTTAGATCGGTGGAAGGTACATTGGCTAATAAAGTATGAATAAATAATTTTTATCTCAGCAGCCCCCAGCTAGAGGATGAGATCTAAATGTTAAGTTGAACATCAAAAAATGAAGTTATCTATAAAAAGGAAAAAGCCATTAGAAGATATGGGCACACCCCAGCGCATTTGTCTTCTTTCTTTTCTTTTTTTGTTTCGAGATGAAGCCTTCCTTCCCAATCCAGGCTCTCCTTGAATTCATGATGCTCCTCCTGCCCCAGCACCCTGAATGCTGGGGTTATTATAGGCGTGTACCACCACCATGCCTGGCCGGTGCTTTCACTTTCACTGCTGCAGAGAAATCAATCACAGGCGTAGTTGATTAAATCAGACACGTGTACCAGGGGAAGGGTTAAACGATGAGAGCGAAATGCAGGTGTTCGCTGAAACGACCTTGGCTGCTGCCTTTCTGCAGAGACGCTGTTTCCCAGGAGAGAAATGTTATGTACAGTCAGCCTTGAGTGTACTGTGAGCGCGTCCTTGCTTTCAGCCAGCCCCGAGACGCTGCTCTGAGACACGCAGGCCTGTTGGCACCAAGCCACTTTTGTCTGAACACACACCGTACTTAGGCAGCTCACAAACGGGGACAGTGTTGGCGTTTTCTCTCACCTGCGAAAGGCTCCGTCTCATTCAAGTTCCTCCATCGTGGACGCTGTCTCCTGCCTCGGTGGGAACGTACTGTTGGCCTATGCTCGTATCTGCTGTACTTTTATACTAAACTTGTGTTCATGCACATAAAATCACAATGTGGCTCTTGTCTGTTGTGTGGATCTGAACCTCGCCTTTCTGTGGCCACATATACGTGGTTCTTTGCCGTTACAACATATTTTACCCCAGTTTCTGCGAGGCCTTAGTGTGGGCAGTAAGCTAAGTCTCTGTTTAGGGTCTCACAAGCCTGCGAAAGGTCTCTGCCAGCGGCGGGTCTCACCGGAGCCTTGACTGGGAAATGACGTGCTTCCAAACTCAGAGGCGTTTGGCGGAATTCATTTCCTTGTAGCTGTAAGACGGATGGCGAGTTCCTTCTTTAAAACCACCCCTGAAGCCGGGCACTGTGGCCCATGGCTGGAATCCCAGTACCCTGGGAGGCTGAGCAGGAGGAACACAAGTTCAAGCCTAGCCTGGGCAACTTGGCAAGATCCTATCTCAAATTTTAAAGGTGGGAGGGGACACTGAGGATGTAGCGCAGAATGAGGCCCCTAAATTCAATCCCCAGTACCACAAAAAAAGCCCTACCCCCGTCAAAAAAACCCCAGGCCTGGAGAGAGACTCTAACAAGGTGGGTGGGCACTATTAAGTAACCACGTGAATACAAGGGCATATGTTCCATCACCTTTGCCGCATTTCCTTGGCAAGGAGCAAATCACAGGCCCCACACCCTCCCGAGGAAGGGGAATTGCATGAGTGTGACTCCCAGGAGCGGGGATCATGGACCTCCCCTCAGTCTGTGGGACAAGCCTGCAAGGCCACCCGGAGCTCATCCCAGGGGCTTCGGAGTTGCTAAGGGCTCTTCAGATGCTGTTCCTTTGTCCCATGCTGTCGTCCATCTCAAGACCTTCTAAGGACATGCTCCCCGTCTCAACTTTGTGTCTCTGAGGATCGCTTTGTTTGGTCCTGTCTGCTCTGGTCTATCTGGCCTCTGATTGCTGACCAGTGGCCTTGGTCAAACTCAGGGGACACCAAGTTACCCACCCACTCTCCCTAAGGACCTCCACAGTTCTCTCAGGGTCTGCACGGTATAATCATGCCGCTTTCAGGCCAAACACTTGTGTCTTTATCTCTGCTCATGAGTGGTGCTAATTAGTCTGCTTTGCTAAGGGCAATCTGGAGTTGCGGGACCATTTCAGGGAGCTCTTGACATAGATTGTTTCTCTGAGGTGCCTTAGGGTAGAAAAACCAAACTCTTACCATTGCTTTGTTTTGCTAAAAGTGATATAATTTGTCAAACATAGATGAGATCCCTGCTTCCCATATTTGAAGATTAATAAATTTTGGACCACACAGCATTATAACACTTTCAAGGGTGCAAGTTACTGGCTGACCACCTGTCATTTATTCTCTTTGTGTACAGATATTTATCAAAATTGTGTATTTGTCCAAATCTGGACAAAGATCAGGTACAAAGCACTGGTCACTGAATATTTTACCCTTATTTTTTAGAGGCGCAATCAGTTAAACTGAAAATGCCTTTGGATATTATTTGCACTTCACAATTACTAAAAAAAGAAATAAGAGGTTGTGTGAAGAGTGGCTGGACAGCTCTCCTTTTCTGTTCTCCAGTTTTCTTGTTTGGAGAAAATAAAATTTGTTGATCATTTTAAAGATAATATAAATAAAATTAACTTACTAGGTACAGAATTTATGGAGAAATATAAACATACATAGGATAATGGATATGATTTTCTGCCTATGAATAAAATTGCACCTTCAGATTATAAAACTGAATCGAACTTGCAACCTCATGCTTGCTAGGCCTAGGCGCTGTGCCACTGAGCTATCTCCCTGGTCATAATTGGCATTCTATATAATGCATTATGTATATTTAATATAACATATTGATAAGTTACATTTTATTTATTATTTATTTACTTATTTTGGTTTGTTCAAGACAGGGTCTTGGGCCGGGGATATAGCTCAGTGGCACAAGCGCCTACCTGGCAAGCACAAGGTCCTGAGTTTGATTCCCGGTACCGGAAAAAAAAAAAAGACAGGGTCTCACTATGGAGTCCAGGCTGACCTCAAACTCACCATGATCTTCCTTCCTGAGCTTCCCAACATTTTAAAGCTGTAGATATAAGCTCTTGGGGCTGTGGATTTACTTCAGCGGCACAGCACCTGCCTGGCAAGCACAAGGTCGTGAGTTCA